GGGCCGAGCCGGCACACGCCCAAGCACCCAGCCCCGGACAACGAGAGCCTCCAGCGCGCAGGCGGGCAAAGGCACAACCCACCAGAGGACAGGAGCCCACCCCCAACCGACCACCCCCCAGGCCCCAGCAGCCACCCCAGCCAGCGGGCCAGTAAGTCCAGAATTAAAAGCAGTCACTTTTAAAATGTTCCCATTTTCTCTTGTGGCTGAATATATTGTTAGTTTAAAAGTAACGACTGCTTCAAAGAAAACTATACACTCTTTTTAAAATAAATACAGTATTTGGTTTTACATGTAAACGCTAATGTTAGAAAAACAGAGTGATAAAGTTGCTTACCAAAAGAAAAAAGCCAGTGAAAACAAATCCAACAACAGTGGACTGGAAGTCAATCATTTTGAATATTTTTTAGAATAAGATGAAGTAAAACAAAAACAAATTAAGTCTTAGATGAATTATTTTACTCATGGAAAGTTGCTCTACCATAAAGTCAGCTCTCTGTAACAGCTGACAGCACACTTCTCAAACAAACAGTGTTTGATTGGGTGTATAGCCTTTATAATGCAACACTACCTGAAATACTGGTGTTGCAAGTTCAGCAACTGCCACGGATTAACAACAGAGCTAGAGTACTGCACCTCTAAATTTACTCTGCTGAATAGAAAAAAAAAWGTTTCTTTCACGTCATTTATTATTCTGACAGATGTTTTTCTTTCCTTAGAGAGTCTAAGTTCATTAATAGTTTTTGAGCCAAGGACTCTGTTTGGCCCATGCCCACGCAGGACTTTGAAGAAATCTGATCTGAAAAACAAACTGATATCACAAGCCAAAGTTAATTACCCAAGCCTTACTGACTTTCCACATCTCAAACAGAATAAAACATTGGTAACACTGTTCATGGATTGTTTCAGGTTACCAAACAGGAGCATCAGCGCCATCATCCTGTCTATATAAAAGCCACTAGAATAAGCTGAGATTACTTATGAGCTCTGTTAGACAGCTAACCCTGGACATACGGCCTTACTTTAAGCATTCTTTGCTGGATTTTTTTTTATTTTACAAACACAAAGACTTGGACTCAATGGCTTTGGAGGACCTGTGCAATTTTGATGATGTTTTCCATCCAGAAACATTTTCAGCGTCAGCAGGGAAAAAGAAAGGTTGTAGCTATGCAACCAATTTGCCCTTCAGGAATAACACAAGTCTGCTACATTTTTACATACCAGTGGCAGAGTATTTGGATGAAAGCCCAATACAGTTTGGGCAAATCAACCTGATGCAGAGCTCAAGTGCCATCTCATCTCAAGAGTGCCTCTTAACACCCTCCTGCGTGCCCACAAGCTTTCCGTTCGCTTCCTCTCAGCCTGTACCTCTTCCCTTCCCCATGTCTCATGGGACCACCACCTTGGCGTTCATGTTTCAGGGCGGGGTCCTGGCTGCAGCAGACACTCGTTCCAGCTGCTCCGGCCTGGTGGCGTGCCCGGCCTCCCAGAAGATCCTGCCCATTCACAGCCACTTGGTGGGCACCACCTCCGGAACATCAGCCGACTGYGCTCTTTGGAAGCGCATACTGTCTCGAGAACTGCGGCTTTACCAGCTGCGCTACGGCCGCCGCTTGTCCACGAGTGGAGCTGCCAAACTGCTTTCACACATGCTTCACCCCTTTAAGGGAACTGAGCTCTGTGTAGCTGCTACACTATGTGGGTGGGACGGAGGAGAGCAAGATGATGGATGTCCTGACAGTAACTCGGAAACAACAAAAACTCAAAACACTGACCAGGAAATGACTGCAGATGCCTCAAGCAGCTCAAAGAAGAAAAGAAGTTTGTCTGGACCCAGCCTGTTTTATGTATGCAGCGATGGTACTCGTCTACAGGGGACACTCTTCTCTGTGGGTTCAGGATCCCCCTACGCCTATTCCATCCTGGACCAAGGAGTTCAGTGGGGTCTGACAGTGAAGGAGGCCACATCAATAGCTCGAGAAGCTGTGTTCAGAGCCACCTACAGGGATGCATACTCAGGAAACTGTGTGGACATCTATCACATCACCTCAAAAGGATGGACTCGCCGGACGCGCGAGGACCTGAAAGAGGAACATTACAGAGAAAAGGAGAGGCGACGAGTTGAGAGGGAGACACGGCACAAATTTCTCCCAGCAAACACATGCAGCAAACAAGAAACWTCTTGAGAAAAGAAAAGCAAACACTGAGGCATATTTCAGAGCAGATACTAAATTAATGAACAAGACAGGCAGTCACATCCTCGCAGCTATTTTTCTCAAATGATTTAGGCMCGAGTATCATTTCATTTAATAAACAGCTTATGGTTTGTTTGCACTGATGACAAAATGTACTCCAGTAGTGCGCTGCTGGCTGCCATTTTGATGTAGATGTTAAAAGATTATAGATCATTTTATCATTTGAAATATGAGATAATTACTACCTACGCCTGCATCATAGATGAGCACATAAACAGAGAAAAGCAGACAATGAGTTGTCTGAAGGCTGTTTTAAAATATGAGAAAAATATTTTAAGTGTTGCAAAAAGAGCCAGTGGGTTAAATGATTTGAATCCGTCAGAATAATCCCAAGTTTTCTTTGGCACATAAATTAATGAATGAAAATATGAGATTTGGTTGAACGGAACTTGGCTGTTYGTTTTGTTTGACCGCTGTGGTCATAAAAATATTATTATTCAAATGAAATTGTCATTGGAAAAAAAGGACAAATGCTATATTTTTCTATGTGTTTTGCTTTTTTATTATTATTATTATTATTTTACATTTAAAACCAAAGTGTGGTGATGAATGGTCTCCAGGGAAACAATTTACCATGTGAGAGCAGTTCTCCAGTCGATTGAAAAAGTTTAAACACCMCTTGGTATTCTTTCAATTGATTTAGAATTGGTATTTTGCATGCACATTGCACAGTGATGCGATTTATGAAAGAATGGACAAAAATAAGGCATTGCTGAAAGAAAAACTTTAAAAAGGCAGCCTGTATGTAGAAGAAGGTACTCAGATATGTRACACATCATATCGAAATGAGGATTACCGTATTTACTCATGTATAATACCATCATCCTTTTTTGAGCTTAAAAAGTCTAAAAAGTCTAATCATCAATATCCCTTGTATAACACTACCCCCCCCAC